ATGGAAATAATCAAAATGTGTTGTGATAAAACGGGATAGAGTAACAAAGTGGTTGATCTATAAATTGAAACCTCTTTAGCTGATGTGGTCACAATTTACCCGTTATCAATATGTTTGTCATTGATATGCTACACTTCTGTTTTGTTCCTGCTACCATCTATAAAGTAATTCATGAAAATCTGATCTGCATATCCCAACATGTAAGCCCCCCATAAAATAACTAAGACAATAAAAACATTTTTATGGAAGGATATTTTTTGAAGATATTGGCACATGTTTCCAAACAAACTTCTAACAGAAAGAAAAATGTAGAGGGTGGATCGTTGAAGAAATGAGCAAATATTTCCAAACCACCTTCCATCAGACTGAGAACCTTTCTCATAATACTTTCTACCTCCACCTGAGACCTGATCTATTTTATCCAGCAGATCCTGGACCTGCCTCCTGTTTTCCATCTCATTGTTGTTAAGAACGTGGTACATCCCACTGCAGCTTTTCAGCAGCTTCTGCAGGTTCTGATCCTCTCTAACAAACTGATCCAAGTTTATATCAGTGTCTTTCAGTCGATCTCCGTAGGTGAACAGGATCATGGTGTGTTTGAGGAACTCAGGACCCAGAATGTTGTGCCCGCCTGAATGAGGAGGAAAACATGAGGACCAGGAGAGCTCTGCTTGACAGCTTCCTCCAGCTCTTTTTTGATCTCTTCTGCAGAAAGACGGGAGCTGCAGAGCCCTGGGGTGTCCACCACAGAGACTCTGCGGCCCAGAACTTCTCCTTCCATCCTCTGAGAGCTCAGAGTCACAGGGATGGAGCTGACATGACAGTCAAACGCCCTTTTTCCCAGGATGGTGTTTCCTGCTGAGCTCTTCCCAACTTTCTCCTGACCCACCTGCACCACTCTGAGGTCAGCCTCTTGCTTTGATTCTGAAAATAACAAAATTACATCAGCAGAGGGCAGAGCTTCAGATGTCATGGGGCCATCTGAGAACATTTAAAGATAATTCACAATAAAGGTACAAACAAAGAATAATTTACCAGGTTTGTGTTTATTGGTAGATTATAAAGTCACTCTAAATTTTGAGTAATGAATGTCTTAAAATAATTGAATCAACAATTACCCTTCATCAGTGTCTTTGATACAACAGATAAAAAGTTTATGTAAACCACAACATATAATTTATGTTAAGATTAACCAATAAAGGAGCTCTTAAGATGAATTTAATACAAAGGAGGATAAACATTAAACATTTAAGGACAAGGTCTGAATATAAAGATTTGATCACAAACAACACACAAACATATTTTTGACACAAATGGAGTGTCATGAA